TGGCCCCCGTTGTGGAAGGGCTCCCCGGTGGCCGGGCAGGGTGGCAAGAAAGTGGGAACCGTTCCACCCGAGCCTTCTTCCAATGCTGGGACCCTCTAATGCAGATTCCCCCTTTCACTCAAGTTGTTAGCAAAAATTCTCAATCACTTTAAGAATTAAGGGCACCTAAGTCCACCGTAGGGCTGATGTCCAAAAGAATTGAGGATGGTAGCTCGCAGGGTGAGGAAACAGGGCAATTTTCTAGCCTCTAGAATCAGCTTTTCATTGTGTGAAAAGCTATGAAATATCTCCACACTATTTTTCTCAGGGAAGGATATGAAATAACCAAGGAGAACTTAAAAAAAAAATTTTTAACTTGTTTGAATGATCATACCCAAGCTTATTTGCACAATCAAGATTGTAATTCATACACAGATGTAGTTTTGTTATATTAATACATTGCAGCCTTACATTTCTGTTTCGATAATTACTGCAAACTGATTCTCACAAGAGCCTAGAAGAAAGTAGGCTGTCAATACAAGATGAGGTTAGTTGGGAAGACTTCCAGAACAGTGGTGACTGCCATTTGGAAGAAGAGAAGAAAAGGGTTAGTTAGTTATCTGAGTAGTGCAGTACTAGGCTTAGCACACTGACAGCCAGTGATCATTCACTCCATTGCAGATTCTTTCCATAGTCAAAACTAAGGGGAGCCATGAGAGATTCCTCTATACCTCTCCCACCAGAGAAATGGGAACAAGTCCCAAACCCTCTCTAATCACAAAGAAAAATACAGGAATGAATAAAAAAGATAAGATAGTAAAGAACCTGTACTTTATTTGAAGACAAAATACTCTTGCCATTGCCATGGCCTTCTGAAACATTTTGAACAAAACCTCCTGTCCAAAAAAATACAAGGATTTCTATCTTCTCTCAAGGATAGCTGCTTGCAGATGTGATGGCTGGTTTATAGTTACCCTTGGCATCTTGCTCTGTCTCCTACAGGTTTTTTTTCTCTCCACACCAAAAGCTATTAGGGCTCCTCACCAACAGTCCCACTTCATAATTTCTTGCAGAGAGCTCACTCTTGAAGTTACTTACTAATTCCAAGAATTAGAGTCATTTAAAATGTCAAACAACGTGGGCCCTATTGATGAAATGTGTTTTTTAAATTTTTATTTTCCCCCCATCACCATTTTA